TCATCAAGACGTGAAATGAACGCCTTTTCAGAGCTGCATTTAATGCTTCATATGTATGCATGCATGTATGTATGTAGGTGTTTGTGTGTGTGTATGAGTGTGTGTATAGATAAAGAGAGTGAGAAGTAGAGAAAGTAAGAAGCCACCGATCGGGGCCATAATTCTTAACTGAAAGAGCATTAGAGTGGTATGAGCTGCTTCTGAGAGCCCGCATTGCATAAGACCGAATCAACACTTAGTCAGGCCAGCAAATCTCCAGCAAAGCAATCTTTTTATGCAACTTGCCTGTTTCACTCTTCCTGTACCACATACACACTGAACAGATGCAAATGAAAAAGAGAATGGGCGCGAGCGGCACACTTCGTCCGAGGCAAAGAGGCACCGGGTCTCTTTGGCCAGTCGTCACGGTGATTGTGGCCGGCGGAGACTGCAAAACAAGACGACAGACGAGACGATCCCTCAGCATGTGAAGAAAAAGCGATTTATCTCACAGTTCCTTGCATAAGTGTGTCCGTTCACACACTGGCAAATTCACACACACACAAACACACACGACTCTGGACATTTTTCTGTCAACGCCATTTGGCCTGTCGGTGTTGCATCAAAATGGCGCCCACTTCAGCCAGAGCGCCTGATTGTGTGGCGCTAGCGGGCGTGGAAACAGACCATCTGAATTTGGCAGAGTAACTGACATAAACCAATTTCACTGAAATGTTTTATTTAGAAGGAAAAATTGGTTTAATGGTTGGATTGTGCGATACATGTCCGTGTTGCAGATCTCTGTAATAGGAATTTATTTGTGATGAACTTTCCATTGTCACCTCCTGAGAAAGAGCATCAGAGTCAAAGAATATTAATTACCAGAAGAAGACTCATTTTATTGAAGGAAACGACAAATGACAATCCTTAATTTCTCTCAAATGATCATGGCTGTCTCAATTCATCGTCCAAGAATGACCTATAATCGGAAAACGACCAATTCACCGAACCAAAAAATGTGTCTGCCTGCCATTACAATTACCTCTTACACTCAATTTTGAAATCGCTAAAAGGCATCACTTTTAACAAGCAATGAACAATCAAATAGCATTAAATTATAAATACATCATTTGGGTGATGACGACTCAAAAGAAAATGCGACATCTTTTTTATTGGTTCGCTTGAAAATGGGTACAGTTTTGCCCCGTCTCGTCACTCTTACAAAAGCTTTAAATTATTTCCAAGTCGAGGATACCAACCAACTTTCTAAACATGCTCACAACAAATATATACCAAAACATATATCAGAATGTCTGGATGTACATTGAATGATTTCGTCAATTAATTACGTTATCACTTAAGAACTTCACCACGTATACGTGTGTATGTGTGTGTTTGTGTTTGCTTTTGTTCTAGTGTTAATCAGCCTCAGAAATCAACAGACATAACTCTGAGTGATTACGCTGAATTGTAGCGCAAATCCAATGGCACCAAGTAAAATATGACCGCTATTGTGTAATCCCAAACCCTCAATTTAACTGACTACACAAGATATGTGAAATGAATATAAACAGTTTAGAGCCTCTACATATCTACATTTATAGATAGATAAAGAGTGATTTGATTTATTTATTGCGTGAGTAATTTTACGTTTGTGTGTGTGTGTGTGTGTGTGTACTTGCTTCTGTACCAGTTTAGGTCAGAGTAAGCAGTCACCAACCGTAACTCTGAGTAATGATAATAGAGCATAACGTCAGTCCAGAGGCAGCGAGAAGAGCAAAACTGCTGTTGAGCAATTCTAAGCCTAAGTTTGTCTGAGTTAATGAGCTCAAAAGATGTGTGTAATAAATCAAAACTTTTTTGAGCCGGTCGGTTAAGCATATTTCCAGCTGCTGGTGGCTCAACATCTCAACCCTCTTTAACCTTATCAATCTGGCAGAAGTACTTCTTGAACTAGAACTTTGTCAAACTAGCTTGTTTAAAGTGATTTAAGGACAGACATAATCGGGTGAATAGATCTTGGGGTACCATTGAATTTCACAGCTTATCGCATCCAGACTGGGTCGAACTACAATCTCGACCTCGACTCAAATGTTCTCATCAGTACCCCCAACGGGACTCGGACCCATGCCGTGAGTAGCATGGCAACAGAGCGCCACTTAACTACACAACCAAGTGTGCCAAGGAGTCACAGGGCAGGTGCGGCATTTAAGGCAAACCAGGCTTTTCCAAATTAACAGTTGAACGATAAAATTGTCTAGTAAATATACTTTACCTTTTTTCGATATGAGTAAATTTTAGTAATATCAGTAATTTTTGTAGGAAAGGCAGTCTTTAAATTACTGATAGTGTCGAATACTACTCATAGTGAAATAAGTAGATCTTATTTGAATTCCTTTCTACATTCCCTATTTTATCCGTATTATTTAGAACAGACGTTCTTGTCTTAAATTTAACAGAAGACCTTCCACTATAACCAAACTGATATATTTTATACCATTACGTTTCATGTCCGGTTTCTGCCATTTGCTCAGCCACTTCTGACTATTTGACCCGACAGCCTTTTCCGCAGTTTCATTTCAGCTGACTTTTGGCAAATAGAGCAAATAATGGATTGCAACAACCAGAACTTGTGAATGGATCCTATTTTATGCCGAAAAGAGGACATTAGCAAAGAAAGTGTCAGGTTTTATTTGAGGTCTGTTTTTGTTCCATACCTCTTCATTGGTCGGCCAGAAATTTTAGAAAGCAAGCTTGAGAAAGAATATTTTGACTTAGCCTAGACGATACACATTATAAAGAAATAAATGTTAAAAAACCTATTTACCTGTTCAGAAAAAGTATGTCTATTAGCAAAGTTACTTTGATTAGCATAACAAGGACTAACAAAATCACTCTAAAGTGGGTTAACCTCGTTGTCACAACTCGGTCTTGTTGTCAGGGCGACAGAGTACAACGGACCTTGCCCGAACTCCTCTGCCATAGCAGTCATCCTAATTCCCAGCATCAGACCATGGACTTGGTAAATTCTCAGACTTTTCTGATGCTAAGAATTAGGCTAACTGCTATGGCAGAAGACTTCGGACAAGGTGCGTTTTACTGAGTCGCCCTGACAACAAGATCAGATTGCGACCATACCGGGGCTACATCATATTGGTCTTAATATCTTCGAAAATCGCTCTAAGTTTATGCGATGAAAAGTTGGATTTAGAGTAATCTCCTGTTTCAGAATTGTTGAGCTTTCTTCCATTCCCACCAAAGAGCTTAGTTATAGAGCATAAATACAGCATTTGAGTATGGACCGATTAGCTTTCTTGATTCCTTAACTTGAATATGGTTGTAAGAAAGATACCCTTTCTATTCTGCTGATGTTCGTTATGCGAAAGACGAAAGCTATGCACGTTTTCATCGGAATAGAAAGAGAACGTCATGGAAACAGCGTCAATAGGAATGTTTCAATCGACAGCCGGTCAAGAGGAATCTACCGTCGTGTCATGGTGGAGTCGACCTTCGAATCTCTTCAAAAATCACTTTCATTAGAAATGGAAGTAGGTTCAACAATTATGAAAGGAGACATTTCTCGAAAACCAACTTTTATTCGCATATACATTGTATCCTTTCGGTCAATTTGGCAACACCTTTTAGCAGGTAAGCCTAAGTTCATTGGAATCATGAGGTATATTCATATGTTTATGTATATATTCATATTCAGGTATTCATATATATATATATATATATAGTTATGAGCCAAGACTCTGCACCTTATTGGCCAGAATCCTGGGTCATTCTCTTGTCAGACTTTTAAGGGTTGTAAGACACATAGTCACCAGAAGTAGCAATTTTCCAAACGTAAGTGATCTTGGCTCGAGTCCCGCCAGAAGACTGCTTTTGAGACAAGCTGTACAGCGATCTGCGAGAATGTACAGGCGGGTCGCGATTAAAACGAGGTCGATTAGTGCCAAGCTCGATTAAGTAGGTTTGCTAAATTGGTGCCAGGCGGCAGAGCAGACGCCGCAATTGAGCACTTTTTGATGCTTGTCACGCAGTTAGTTTTGCTAGATGAAGTAAAGTATAGCAAAAATAATATATAATTATTTAAGTAAAGATGGGCAAGGGGAAGAAGGCTAAAGTGAAAAGTAGAGGTGAGAAAATAAGCAACATCTCGATGCAATAAAACGATACAAACATGTTGATAGCAATTATAAAATTGGACGTTGTGTTGGAGTGCATGAACCGACGGTACGGAATATATTTTAACATACGCAGATGAAATAAAGAAAAAAAAATGCAAACTGGTATCAACTTGATGCGATTTATAAAGATACCTCAATGCATACAAGTATTAGGATGCTATATCTATTTGATAATGTAACAAACTGTACAGTTTTCGCCGGAAAACATGACATTCTTATTGCACCATTTAAGGCATGCTACTCAAGAAGACCTTTTGCACAGTTGATTGCTGCTTTCTGTGCTGTATTTATTTGCTTATAATACATTTTAATTATCATTAGCTATTGTTTTTCACTTAGAAACATAGATTAAATATTAGAATTTTTAAACATTTATTCACCTTTTTTACCGAGATGCAACCAATTACACAAATCTTTATCACGAATTACTTATCCTAACTGCCGTCTGTCACTATTAGCACGCATGCCTACATGCCTGCATACACACATGCAAAGATAGGGCATACGAATGAGTAGACGGACACCAAGACAGACGTGACAAAGTCTGTCGATAGCGGAAAAGCCTCGTTTTCCGCCTTCTCTTCCTCTCGACATTTTCAGACTCACTGCGGTCACAGAAACTCTAAAAAAGAGCATTTATCAAAAAATATGTTGAGACCTTTGTTTATCTACCAAACATACACTTAACCGGCCCCATGTTTTGAGCACTTTGCATTCTGCCGACTATTTGCTCAAAGTCAGGAAGTTCGATTCATCTCGGTTTCTGCTGTGCCGCAGAGATTGCATTTGGCCTCGCCAGTCACTCTCAGAGTCTCCTGAGGCATCCACATGCGGTCAAGAAGAGGCATCAGGCCTTGTTCTGCGGCTGACGTGAAAAAAGCCAATCTTCCCCACCGACGAGGGTGGAGTCGTCAGTACAAGTCTGCTCATGTTCCCTGTCAAGCGTGGCGAGAAAAACTGTGCAACTGCCACAAACTGTGGTGCAGTCTCGTTTACTCCTCTCCAGTCCGTCCCATCGGCTTTCAGACGTTTGTCTCTTTGTGTCGTCTAACTATGCTCAATCGGTACCGGTTGTTGTGCTTCGGCTGACAGACAGCCTCGATCGTCACCGTCAAGCTGCACAACACCACACCGCAGAAACCGAACTGTCTTGCATGGCAGCATAATTCATCAGGAGCCATGCTTCACCAGACAAGAGGGGAGGACAACTTCGGAAAGTCAAACTTCGACAATTTCGTCTTCGAATTGAGGCAATTTGGGCCGAACAGCTTCGTGCTTCCTTCTACAAAATACCGAATGGAACAGTCGATACTATCGCGAAAATAGTCCTTTAGGGCGGATCATTCGAAGAGATCTCTGGTGAAAGCGACAAACAAAACAGACACAACTACACCCTGACACATATACGCACACACGTTCACACAAGTTGCCATACCAATTCAGTCACGGTACAATAAATGTCTGCGTCAGCTTCATACGTCCACTTCAACCCTCTGGAATACAGTCACGTAATCCATTTAAATTCCCATATTCCCTCAATTTTATTATAATGTCACAATTTCGTAATTTGAATGCAAAATAGGGACATGTGACTGTCATGCCCGGATCAATTCATATCAATTGTCTTTTTGTATGCTATTATTGAAAAAACAGTCGGAGGAACTTATTGATAGACTTAAGGATGTCCAAAAGGTGTGAGTAAAGGGGAGATGGAGATGTTTGGACACATATGGTTTAAATCATACAAACACAAGTATATCCCACAAGAATAGATTCAGCCATATCCCACTAATCATACCAGACAGCGATAGGTGGGTTCTGCTTAATCTTCCAAGTAATTGAATTGGTTTCGAGATTATCGGTAAATTGAGGCTAAAAATTGAGTTTTGAAGCCCAATCAATGCGTATCTGGCACCATTTTTGACGGAAATAACAACTTTAACTAGATCTCGAAAGCTATTAATTAAATAGCCAGTAAAGCCCGTAATCAAATGAAATCATGAATGAAATTAAGTCGTGAATAAAAACCGATTTCCTCGAAGTATCCTCACTAAAAATCTAGTAGAGTAGTTGGTTGAAATAGAAAAGAAGACTCTGAATTTGAAAAAGAACTGACTTAATCTAAACTTAATTAAGTAACTTATTTGAAAGAAGTAACAAATAATTGTCTTATAATCTAGAGAATATATGTCTAGTGGTGCCTTCGAATAAACCACCGAATAGAATACGAACTTGATTAAAAACTGCTGGTCTCGAAACGTATTCATTTTGTAGCTAGTAACGCCTTTTTATAAAGTAACAACTTTAATCAGATCTTGAACATTACCTGCTATATTTAAATTCTTTTCGATCTGTACCGTATAAAATCTCATTTCAAAATGACAAATGTAATAAATTCTAAAGTAAATGCTAATATTTCCGAAACCAATCGACCACTTATCTGGTGATGTTGCTGATTGATAATACCACAGGTAGAATTAATCATACAAGGATTTAGTGCCTTTGAACCAATTAGTAATGATTTCGAATTAATTGTCAAATGTAATTGGTTCTACAATAAATTTTGACAATCGTTAAGTGTTTTAAATATTTATGTGATAGAGTTTGAAGCTTTTTTTAAAAATGTTATAAATTCTTAACTCAGAACTGATGTATCCTCGAATAAGCTCTTAAAACCTTCTTTCATTAAATATAAGTAGTAACGCCTTCTTATTAAATAATAACTTTAATCTGATATCAAACACTACCTGCTATATTTTAATTCGTTTTGCTCTGTACCGTTTAAAGTGTCATTTCAAAATGACAAATGTGATAAATTCTAAAATAAATGCTGACATTTCCGAAACCAATCGACCACTAATCTGGTGATGTTACTGATTGAAAATACCATAAGTAGAATTAATTGTACAAGGATTTAGTGACTTTAAACCAATTAGTAATGATTTAGAATTGATTGTCAAATATAATTGGTTATCCAACAAATTCTGACAATCTCAAAGTGTATTAAATATTTATGTGATAGAGTTTGAAGCTTTTTTTAAAAATGTTATAAATTCTTAACTTAGAACTGATATTCTCGAATAAGGTTTTGAAACCTACTTTCATTAAATACAAGTGATGTATTCAATTGTAATGACAAACTTTAAAGTTTTTAGTGACATTCCTACTATATATGTGATATGGGAAAGGTCTGGCCTCCCTTGAAACTCAATTCGGCCCCGAAAATCAAGGACACTTGCGAAGATTATGCATAAGGACTAACAGATAGAGATTATAAGCTGAACTACCAAAACCCTGGTTTGAGTCCCGTTAGGGGTGTTGATGAGATCGGTTTGGGCGAGCTGTACACTAAAGTGAGAAGAAATTTTAGAAAGCAAAACTATGGGAAATTCAGTAAAAATATGGGTCATACTGATAAGATTGATATGAAGACTAAAATGTTGTAGATTCTGTTATAATCGCAGTCTTTCTTAGCCCTACAGAAGCGGTTTGATCTCGTTTTAACAACTTGGCCATCTTATCAGCTAGATTCCTCTGAAAGCACGAGCCAGTTGCGAAAACAGGGTAAAATCACTTCCTATTAATATTTTTCCTTTATAAGTGGGTTTTTGAGACTAACAGTATATCATATATTTATCTATAAATGAACCTACTTACAAACGAAAATAAGTAATATAATCGGTTACTATAGTAAATACAAATTTGCTTTATTGACAGTCCCAATATGATATGAGAAAGTGCCAATCCTTCGTTGAAATTCACATTTGCCCTGTGGCTCAATAGCACTCGTGGTAATGCTGCTCAGTGGTCAACGTGCCAAGATTATACGATGCACTAACACACCTCGAGTTCGAGCATGGAACTGCATGTGTTTGTGGGAAAATGCAACTACCTGTCCCTCCCTTTACCAGCTTAAACGTAATAGGGTGAATAAATCTCATATTGATATGATAACGAGAAAATTCGACCATACATCCTTGATCAATTTATGCAAACTTTTGCGACTTGAACTCTTATTCAAGATCAACTGATATGTTGAAACCTGCTTTACGTGATATTCTCGAACAATAGGCTACGTATGTAGTTTCAAGGTTGACTAAAGTGGAAACTACCAATTGACCTGATAGTGTCAAAGCCAACTGGCTAAATTCCAGCAATATCGTTTATCTTAATTAAGATTAAACTTTTTTTCCATCATCAAATTGAATCTTCAATAATTCAATTTAGGCGTATTTTAGTAGCTATATTTATTATTCAACAACCAACAATTTCTTTTTCCATTCAAAAATGTGATGGCTTAATTAATTTCTAACGATTTCCCATTATTTATTTTAAACGGAGAAGACCCGAATCTTCCATTTGTTCAACTAGTTCGCATGTTTGGAGTCATAAATTGTTGCTAAGCGTAGTATGCTGTGATATCCTTATCTACATGCGCCGGTATGTCATCTTGCTCGGCAAAATGAGGCTGGAACAAAACACGGTATCAACTGGAGAGAGAAAAAGAAAGAGTCCCATTTATTTGGAAAAGGAGATGCGAGAAAGTTCAGGTTGAACAAGATTCGAAAGTACCTTCAACCTCGCTCTCCTTTCGGCTAATTAGGAAACTCATTCTGCCATAACAACCCGACGGATTTACATTAACTCTCCAAACTTCAGATTGTTCTCTTGCATGTACTACACTATCTCGCACATTCGTCACACAATCTTTACTTTCCCTTCTTTTTCATTTCACAAATCCACCTCAAACATAGTCAGAAATTGGTTTCTCTCGTTACGGCAAGATGA